ATTATTGAATTCAAAATAGTAAATTTTATCGTTATAAAAGAATTATTCATCATCAAATCTAAATTAAATTATAATAAAAAATAGAATTAAAGAAATTACACAAAAACAAAAACAAGAACTTTTAAATATTTAATTTGATACAAAAATCGATATATATATATATTTTTAAAATTTTATGATACCTTTAAATTCATATTTTATTCAAAAAAATAAAAAGCATTATCGTTTTTTCGGTACTACATAAAATCGTATTATAACATCGAGGGAGACGGAATAAATGAAACATTAAAATCGAGATTTATCTCGCTATATTGCGCGAATACCCTCCTAGTAAGCTATAAAGAAAAGATAGAATTTTTTTTTTTTGGAGTAAATTATATTTTTGGTCTTTGTGGTTATTATCAAACCTTTCTTTATTTTAAAATAATTACACTTTTAGTTACTATGGTTTTCATTTTAGTACATTTTTGGTCCCTCTAATTAATTGCCATTAAAAGAGGTCGTTTAACTCGGGAGCATTTATTTAATATTTAATAGTTATATTACATTTAAAGTTTATACCCCTTAATTCCTCAACATCTTCACGATCAAGCAACAATTACCACCCTTGCCATCCAATGATCTTATCTCTCCAGGCGATAACTGGCACCATCTTCTTCTTTTAGATCAAGCAGCCAACCAGTCTCGTTTTCATGACCATCCCTAAACCAGGGTGACCTACAAATCAAAACTCTATTTTCTATTTCCCTTTCTTCAATCGAGATTCATACACATTCACACACTAAGAACCAGTGGCAACCCACCTGCAACTTTCCTCTAACGACATCACTACCACCATCCTCACATCGACCCTGTATCTACCCCGCCACGACCGAACCAATGTTGACCTACAAATCAAAACCAAGTTCCCCTTCCTCCAATCAAAACCCACAACACACAGAACTAGTGACAACACACAGAACTAGTGACAACCCACCTACAATTCCCCTCCCCCTCGTCACCGTGAGCCCCTACCATCTTTCTTGTCTACATGAACTTGTACCTTTGATTTGAAGCCATATTTCGATAGTTTTTTGTGACAAACATGAAATCATTGTCACAAATCCCGAGGAAATTCATATTTGACACCTAAAACCATCGTGGATTCCTCTCTATAAATTCCGCATACCAATACTATTTTGTTGATCTGATTTGGATTCTCCAAGAAAAAAAAGATGAACAAAGGGGGAGGGTAGGGGAGTCACGGTCACGGTGGTGGGTTCAAACCCATCAAGCAACATGAAGGTTGCACGTCAATCGTGGGTTTTGATTTTGAATGGATTTTAATTTTTGTTTTGGATTGAATGATTTGGAATGCTTGAATGGGTTTTAGTTTTTGAACTTTGTTATAATTTAAGGATTAGAATTAGAATTTTGATTTGGATTCCATTGCAATTTGAATTTGGATTTCTTATTTAGTTTTTGACTTTGCTTTTTGATTTGTAGTTGGAATTTTCCGCCAGAGGGGGAGGTGGTGGGGTTGTTACCGAAGAAGAATACTAGAGGGGAGGGTTGGGGTTATCACTGACTTGTGAGACAGGATGGTGGGGGTGGGTTGGGCGTATTAAAAAAAACTGATTAAACAAAATAAAAAACAGTAAAAAGACCAAAAGACCCATGAGTTAACAGAGTCTTTTAATGGGAGTTAACATAAGTCTTTTAATGGAAGTTAGCCAGAGGGACAAAAAGTGTAACAAAATGGCAATCATAGTAACCAAAAATATGATTAATTCAAAATGGGGATGAGACGTGATACTGAGCAACGACCACAAAGACTAAAATGTAATAAATTATAACAATATGGTCCTTTTAAGAACGGTTTGATTCTTAACATTTATATCCAACAAATCAATGAATCATGGTCCATTGATATATTTTTGTCAATTACAGGAAATCACTGCCCCGAAAAAATAAAATATTATATTAAATATTTTCAATAAATCCTTTCATATATATATATATATATATATATGTATATGTATATATATATGATAAATTTTTTTTCTAAAATACCCTCTAAAATAAAAATAAAA